TACATGGAAGTCATAAATCGCTACATGGAAGGCAAACATTGGTTTTGACCGAAAAGGCAAATATCTCAAAGGAGGGGTGTTGGCATTATACTCTACTTTTAGAAAGATTCACTTGTACCCTTGTAAGACAAACCATAGAGATGATCTTTCCAATCACCCTCCCTCCACCCATCCGCCCTTTTCCCCTCCCTTCCCCCTCCCTATATTCTTGGGCTATAATTAAGTTATAGCTTTCATATGAGAACTATAAATTGGTTTCATAATAGGGATGTGTACATTGGATACTTTTTCTTTCATTCTTGTGATACTTTGCTAAGAAGAACATTTTCCAGCTCCATCCATGTAAACATGAAGGAGGTAAAGTCTCCATCTTTCTTTAGGGCTGCATAGTATTCCATGGTGTACATATACCACAGCTTATTGATCCATTCGTGGATCGATGGACACTTGGGCTTCTTCCATGACCTGGCAATTATGAATTGGGCTGCAATAAACATTCTGATACAAATATCTTTATTGTAATGTGATTTTTGGTCTTCTGGGTATATCCCTAATAAAGGAATTGTAGGATCCAATGGCAGGTCAATTTTTAGTTCTCCATGTGTTCTCCAGATGTTTTTCCAAAAGGAACATATTAGTTTGCATTCCCACCAGCAGTGTGGAAGTGTTCCCTTTTCTCCAAATCCACGCCAGCATCTCTGGTTTTGGGATTTTGTAATATGGGCTAATCTCACTGGAGTTAGGTGATATCTCAAAGTAGTTTTGATTTGCATTTCTCTAATGATAGAAGTGCCTCAAGGCTCAGCGCCTGTGGCTCAAGCAGCTAAGGTGCCAGCCACATACACCTGAGCTGGTGGGTTCGAATTCAGCCTGGGCCCGTCAAACAACAATGATGACTGCAACCAAAAATTAGCCAGGCAGGCATTGTGGCAGGTGCCTGTAGTACCAGCTCAGGGAGCTCCCACCTTGGGAAGTGGAGGCAGGAGACTCACTTGAGCCCAGAAGTTGGAGGTTGCTGTGAGCTGTGATGTCACAGCACTCTACCAAGGGCAACAGCTTAAGGCTCTGTCCCCGCCCCCCAAAAAAGTTCCCTAAGTGATTTTAAAGCATAGTCAATGTTGAGAACCACAGATGCAATTAGAACCCTAGTAACGCCATAGCCCTGGTCCTCCAGAACTGCTCAGACATGTGCAGGCATGTCTAAAGCCTATGTGAGGATAGTGGCCAAGAGATGGACTTGGCACATAGAAAGGAACAGAAAGGAAGATTAAGAGAGGCGGATAACAGACCCCCAGCCCTAGATCAGCCAGAATAGAAACTTCTGTCTGTCTAGTGGCGTGAAGAGACAGACAGCCCTTGGTGAGGATTTGAGAGCATGTGTTAAGATAAGGAAGCAGATATGTGAGCTGGCAGATGCCTTAGCAGCAGAGAGGTGGTGGCGGCTTCCCCCCAGGGCTGGCTCCTCAGGATTCCCACTGTTCTGTGCTGCAGTCACAAAGCAGAATCATTGTAAGTGCTTTGGGGCACCCCGCGTAGGTAGGACCCAGAGTTTCACTGGCTCCACAGATGCTAAAAAAACAACAACCCTGACAGAGAGACATTCCTTGCATCCTCTTGACTTTCCAATTAATCATTTACATGGGAAACTTAAGCCTACCCAGGTAAAGAGATACGTGAACTTCAGGTCAAGATCACAATCTTATTTCAAATATGTAAATTTTTTTACCCACTCTGACTTGGGGGCGTGTTTTAAAAATAAATTATTTCATTCAATCTTCTGGTTTCCCAGCAACCAGGAAATAGCATCCGTTTTCTCCTGTTGTGAGCACCAGAGCAGCCAAGCGAGCCTGGGCTCAAGAGGCAGAGAAAGAACAAAAGCAGCGCATTGGTCTCCGGTTGGTGAGTGGTGAATTTGTTCCGAACTGGCACCCCGTAGAGCGGCCGGAGAGGCCCGGATCTCAGCTCTAGGGGTACCGGGAACCTCGTGAGCGCGCAGGGGCTTGTCAGTGCGTGGAACTCCTATAGAAGACGGGGGCTGTGACTTCCAGGTGTTGGGTTCTATGAAACAGCTGAAGCCTGAGACAGCTGGCATCTTTGCAGTACCTCTTTTGTGTGTGTTCCTAGCCATTGGTCTTGTTTTCTTAAAGCTCTCTAGACAGAAAAAAAGGAGTAACTGGCAGAATTCAAATCTAACTGAACAGAGTCTGTGCAACCAGGCTAGCTACTAAATGCATGTATATCACCAAATTCTGCAGCTGAAAGGAATCTCTCCGATAGGTTAGTTCTTATTTTACAGAGGAAGAAATGCAAAAACATGGAGAGGCAAATCCACTTGTCCAAGGACACCCAGGCGGCGCAGGGACTCCTGACCTTTAGTCTAGTGGGTTAGGAATGGGAGATGCTCCTATTTTTACATTTTAAACTTTTACAGATTATGCCACAGTAAATGGGAGGGCCTCTGGGGAAGCTGTCATAGCAACCAAGAAATGCCAGTGGTATAACTTGTAAGTCTGAAATTCAAAGGGTTTGCTCAGAATTATAAGACAAGAATGCAAGAATGGGTTAAAGTAAGTGCTAAGTGAGTATATGCTCTGTCAAGGAATTGAGACAAGACGAATGGTCTATTAATCAATGTTTCTCCAAATTATTGAATCAGAAGAATTTTTAATACATGCCAGATTTTTCCAAAAAAGAAAATAAGATCAATGTGGACTACGTTGTCAAAAACAAAAACAAAAACAAAGAACAGAAATACATGTCATACTTTAGTTACAGCACATTAGAGTAAAAAAGTGCTTTTGGCATATTAATCGGGTCCAGCATTTTTTAGATAACACTTGAAGAGAGCCAAGTAGCTGGCCCTGAAGTAACACGCATGGCGGCAGCTAGCTGCCCTGGGGCCGGTGCTTTTCCTTCTCTAGGGGATGGGGCACCTCTCTGGCTTGCAGCCTTCTCTCCTGGTTGACGTCCTGCAGGGAACGCATTACTGTCTTCTAGTCAATCCATTCCCAGTGGAATGCTCCACTTTCCTCCCCTCTTTCTCCTTATACTTGTCCCATCCACTTCCAAAAGGCTGAAGCAGGTGTAGCTGCAGCAAGAATGATCCCCAAACATTAAGCTGGCCTGAGGAAGAATTCTGCCATCTCAGTGGCATCCTCTTGCTCTTTGCTTATTGTCAGAGAACTGAATCAAATGAAGCTTAGCATTTATAGCCTACATTATTTTAAATTTTGGAAGTTTGTTTTCCAGCTGTCTTTAGAGGAGTGATTTAAAAACACACGCCCAATATAAAAAGTACAAAAGATAATATAATAAACATCCATGGGCTCATCGTTCCAGAGTCAACAACTCTTAACATTTTTGTTTTATTCGTGTACTAGTGAGGGTTCTTCAGAGAAATAAACCACATATATACATGTGGCAGGTGCAGCGTAAACTGAAATGCCTATTAATCCCAGCTTACATATATACAAATGTGTATATATCTATCTATGTAAACATATGTACATGGAGAGAGAAATTGATTTTAAGGATTTGGTTTGCATGATTGTGGAGGCTTAGCCAGTCCAAAATCAGATGCAGGAGGTTGGCAGTCTGAATCTACAGGCTGTCTGCTGGCAGAATTCCTTCTTGTTCTTATGCAGGGAAGGCCAGCCTCTGTTCTACCAAAGCCTTCAACCGATTGGGTAAGGCCCACTCAGATGGAAGGTAATCTGCTTTACTCTAAGTCCACCCGTTTCAACATCAATCTCATCTGAAAAACACCTTCACAGGAACTTCTGGAATAACATTTGACCCTATATCTAGGCACAGTGGCCCAGCCTAGTTGACACATGAAGTTAATTATCACAATTTGCTTTGAATCTTTTTAAAGACATAAAACATTGTAAATTGAGTTGATATCCCATTTATACCTCTGGTTGGTGAGCGGAACACTCCCTGAGCACCCCATTCAAGAGTGATATATATATATATATATATTCTTTTTTTGAGACAAAGACTCACTTGGTCACCCTTGGTAGGGTACCGAGGAGTCTTAGCTTACAGCAACCTCACATTCTTGGGTTCAAGTGATCCTCTTGCCTTAGCCTCCGAAGTAGACTGCCACAGTGCCTGGCCATTTTTTAGAGATAGGGTCTTGCTCTTCCTCAGTCTGGTCTCGAACCTGTGAGCTCAGGCAATCCACCCGCCTCAGCCTCCCAAGTGCTGGAATCATAGGCATGCGCCACTGTGCCCGGCCCCAGGAGTGATACTTTTTTTGTGTGTGTGAGCTAGAAACTTTATTAATTATAATCAAAGAAAATTAATAAGATATTCAGCATCACAACAGACTTTACTTATCAGAATCTCCTTTTTCAAAAAACTCCTTTTTTGTGACCTCAGACTCCTTTGACCCCATTACCTGATCTTCAATTTCTGGTTTAATGGTGGGGGCTGGGGGTAGGAACCAAAGACCTGTTTGCTAAAGACACACGTTCTTTCCAGGAGTTCTGGGCCATTGGGGATTATAGATGGGTTCTATTAAAAATTCCATTGCGAGCACCAGGGAGGGCTCCCTGGGAACCACTGTGTGGAACACACGTGGAAAATCTCAGATATATGCAGATCACAGTTCATCTATTTGGATGGTTCTGCCCAGACAGTCTCATCAGCTATTACACAAGCGATTTCAGTTTTATTTGCTAGGTTATAGCAAGGTTAAGGATTGGAGAAACTTGGAAGGAATAAAATTTGTCAAAAAAAAAAAAAAAAAAGCAAACTAGAGTGTACTAGCCTGCAGACCACTTTCTGACCCCAAACCTGCTGAATTAGAGGCTGAACATTCCTTCGGATCCCTTCCAGAGCCTAAGACTCCATGACTGGTATTTGGAGCAGTAGCCTCCCTCATTCAAATTCTCTCTGATTTGCTGCTGCAGCCTCTAGGCTCAGAGAGGCTGGATCTTCCCAACAGAGAGCAAATGTAAACTGCAGATGCCTGCTCCGCTGATACGCCTTTCACCATGGAAAGAAGGCTTATAAAGAAGGAAGTGAAAAAGCTCCTGTAAGTATGACTGAGAATAACTGTCCTTTATAACACCTGGCATTTGGTGGGTTTCATGTCTCGGATGGTTTGACTATTAGCAAGGTGTTAAAAACCTAAAGAATATTCTATGCCTGTACTACAGAGAAAGCCAGAAGATGCTCTGTCCTCCTCTGCCTCCTGCCAGGGAGGCCTCACGTGTGGTGCAAGGCAAGATGCCGAAACTCTCGGGAGGATGTTTGCTGGCAGCCTGCACATCTGAGGCATGCCATTCTAGAGCCTGAGAGCTCATAGCTGAGTCTATGTTCTAGCCAGGCTGCATGGGCAGGATGTACCACTGACGACAGGGATGGCCCTGCTGGTGAAAGATAGAAGAGGAGGGATTCCTAAAAAACATACCCAACAGCCCGGTGCTCACATTGCAGCCACTGCCTCTTTCATTGCCAGCTGCATTGACTAAATGATTCATCTCCTTTTTCTTGACATCTGAACTTTTTCTGAACACAGAAAACGTCATGTTTACCATGGACATTCTTTTTCCGTGCATGGTAGTTTTTCTTTGAGTCAGTACTTAAGAACTATTGGTGAAAGATTACAAACCATATGAAAAAGAAAAGAAAGGTTATGTTCTCTCTCATACATATTACACACACAACAGTAATGCCCCTGTCATCAAAGACCTTATCACTGTCCCCATCAAGTGTCTTTTTTTCTGCCTACTAAGAAAATTGTAAGGCCAGGCACTGTGGCTCATGCCTGTAATCCTAGCACTCTGGAAGGCTGAGTGGGAAGATTGCTTGAGGTCAAGAATTAGAGACCAGCCTCAGCAAGAGGGAGACCCTGTCTCTACTAAAAATAGGAAAATTAGCCGGGCACTGTGGCAGGCACCTATAGTCCACAGCTACTTGGGAGGTGGAGGCAGGAAGATTGTTTGAGCCCAGTAGTTTGAGGTTCTGTGAGCTAGGCTGACACCACAGCATGCTAGCCTGGACAAGTAGCTAGCCTCTGTTTCCAAAAAAAGAAAAAAAAAGGAGAAAGAAAGAGAATTATATTTTAATAAGTTCTTAGAAATGCTGGAATAAATTATAAACTATACATGAATTCATGTTGTATACATGTATGTGTCTGGAGGCCAATATGATAATAAAGAACTGACTATGGTCAGGAATGCCAACTCCTCCACATATCTCACCCAAAGAATTAGAATTTCAAATGGATATAAATACAACTTTACATCCAAGGAGTGCATTTAAGCTTTGGCTATAAAATTGTACACATACAAAATACACATACTTTCAAGTTATGTGTATCTTGGAATTGCATAGCAAAAATCTAAGATTTCTTATCAATCTAGATAAGCTTAATGAGCTGACAGAAAAGCTTTTATTTTTATTTTTTTTGAGACAGAGCCTCCAGCTGTCCCCCTGGGTAGAGTGCTGTGGCATCACAGCTCACAGCAACCTCCAACTCCTGGGCTCAAGCGAGTCTCCTGCCTCAGCCTCCCAAGTAGCTGGGACACAGGCGCCCACCACAACGCCCGGCTAATTTTTGGTTGCAGCCAGCATTGTTGTTTGGTGGCCGGGGCTGGATTCAAACCCGCCACCTTAGGTGCATGTGGCTGGCGCCTTAGCCACTTGAGCCATAGACGCTGAGCCAGAAAAGCTTTTAGAAGCCAGAAATAAACTTATTTTCCACACAGTAGTTAGGCCAAAGTGTTCTAGTGTGGTAAATGGACAGACAGAACAGACCTTGTGTGAAACTGAGATGTGCTGAAATCAACTCCAGAGATGCCCCAGGGTTTTCCCACAGTCCAGCCCCTCCCTCTCTCCGACTTCTCCAGGGCAGCACCTATTCTATCTCCACTTACTAAAAGTCACCCTTAGGAAAGGGATTTGACAAGGACACACTAAAGCAGAATCACTAATCGAGTTTTATGCACATCTCCTCCTAACGGTATTTGCATTCTAAAAAGAAAATGCCTTCAGGCAAAAGAATAAATCTCATACGGAATTTTATATATCTGGAATTTATCAGCTTTGGACCTTCTATCTGAAGGCAACCTTGGCAGCAGGGAATTCATTGTTTTAAACAGTGGGTCTCAATCCTTCTGGTCTCGCAGAACCCTTTCTGTGTGTGGGTATTTGGTATACGTCTTGCTTTCTTGTAACTTCTCCTAGCTATGCAAGTTTAATTTTTAGATGAATGCGATTTTAATTAATTACAGTTTGACAATGTAAACCCATAGCATTGTAGACTTAGTGGGCAAACCTAAATTGAATATTAACTCAGCTACCGAAACATCAGTGACTTCTCTTATGTTTTGATGGATGAGGGAAGGCTTGGAAGGAAAAGTTCCTCGGGCAGACTGGGCCCCATGTAACCCCGATGGTTCAATGCTGCTCTCTTGCTTTTAAGGGGAGATTATATTGGCATCAGACTTCGGGAAAACGAATTTGACCCAAAAGGAAGACGGCAACTCACCTTGCTAGACGACATGGTAAAGAAAGGCCTGCTGATGCAAGTCACAATTGTCTTACGTGTGCATTAAGGGGACAGAACAAAGGTTGATTTCTGTAACAAACAAGGCTAATGTGGACCCTCACCCTACAAAAGTCCCTTTTCTCATCGTCTCCTCATCCTAAGATTCTCCAAATGGTCATTTCAACCACTAAACAGCAAGGAAAAAGAGAAGGAGGCGATAAAAAATCATGAGAGTTATTTACTGTCAGGAGAGAAGATTGAAAGCCAGTAACAGGCAAGGACAGGTGTTATGGGCATGGGATTAAAATATTTTTGGACAAAATTAGCTGTCATGTAGTTCTTATAATAATTTCTTATCCATTTGCATTAGGAGGGGGGAAACCAAACAAATGAATAATCCTAAAACCCCTGATGTTATTCATGTTCAAACCCAGACTGGTGTTAGGTTCTGGAAGTTGGTTCACAGAAACAACATAAAGATTGAATTCTAAAGAAATCAGAAAACCCTTGGGTTTTGACACTGCCATGTACTATGGTTACACTAATGACAAAGAGAAGCTCTTCCCCTCCTTCTCTCCCCTTCCTCTCTGTTGAAAGTAAAGCAAGGTTCACTGACTTCCTAAACTTCCCCGTAGCTGAGTGAGTAGTTAAGCCTATTCTCTCTGTACACATATTAAATGGAGAAATTAGATAGTTTAGAGTAGTGCTTCTCCAACTTCATCTTTTATATATATTATTAAATCATAGTTGTATACATTAATGCAACTATGGGATACAATGTGCTGGTTTTGTATACAATTTAGAATGCTTACATCAAACTGGTGAACATAGCCTTCACCCCACTTACTTAATCTTATTACAAGATGCTTTGATTCAGGAGGTCTGGGGCGAGGCTTGGGATTTGCATAACTCATGGGCCTCATCTAACAAGGTGATGCTACGGCTGCTGGCCCAGACATCAAATGTTCCATTAGGTTTCAACGATTGTTCATGGTCCATTTTGTCTTATTTGTTTATTTAAGTTCATTGTTTAGTTTGGTCAGGTCCCTGGAAGAAATAACTCTATTGTTTAAAGAATGGTGAAGTATTAGAATACACCTGAAATAAAGAGAAACAGAACCAACTTTCCCTTTTCTGGGTCTGGGGATGGAGCGCATTTTTGACATTCTAGTCACTGAATAAGAAATTATTCTCTGTCACCCTCTTCCCCCACCCCTACCCTTTTCTATTTTAAAATTTGGGAAAACTGAGACCCAGAGAGCATCACCACTTACCTAAGGATAGACTGAGCTGTTGGCAATACCTAGATTTGAGCTCAGATTCCCGCCTTTCTTTTCTAGACCACGTAAATCAGATGACTGCTCTAGTGGGAGATCCATTTACGCCTGACAAGCCCTAAATATTTCTGGCTGGGCATCATGTTCCCAGGCATAGCTGATGGTCCTTCCCACTTTAGACATGACAAAGAGTCGTGCCATTGTCAGTGGGGCCAGGGAGTGTGCAGCCAGGGTGTCAACTTGTTCTCCAGCTCTCTGTGCTTCCCACCTCCAGGCTCACTATGACTTGGCCATCACTGTTGCTTTGCAGTGGCTGAATCGCTCAGAAGACTTAACGTGGCTGGACTGGGAGGAAGTGTAAGTTGCAATAGGTCTGTTGGTGTTCTCCTTGATGTGTGACTGTGATTAATGACAGAGGACGTCCCAGCCCTAGCCTGTGTCTTCCGTCTTAATGCATTGTGATGTGAAAACTCTGCAGGGTGAACAGCCCTCTTCAGTGAGGCCCTGAAGAAACCCCACCATTGCCACCTTGAGGAAATTATGCTGTGTTTACATATTTTATATCTCTGCTAGTTGGTTTCTGTAAAATAAAACACCTTCTTACACAGGATGCTGTATCTTGTGTATTTGCCATGACTAATCTGGGGATAAAGACGGCAAGCTTGTCCTAACTATTAGCAAACACAATTTCTTAAGCATTTAAGCAAATATGTACCAGAGGTGAGCTGTTTGAATCACAGAAAACATTTCCTTCCAGGATGATTAGCATCATGTTCTCTCATGTATAGGGTGTGGGCACACGCACTCAGTTGGTAAGAACATGGCACTAAGGGGGCCAGGATTTAATATCTTAGCACAGAGGACAGTTATTTTTTTCTGTTCAACATCCTTAGATTAAACACCAGATCTTGGATAGAGAAAGCTGTTAGGGTTTAGTAATAATAAGCAGAAAATCCAATTTGAACAGTCTTAGGGGGAAAAAAATGGGGAAGGGGATTTCACTGCATCTATATCTGAAAGGTTAGTGGGTAGGTCTGTGTTAGGTGGGCATGGTTTAATTCAAAACTCAAACAATGTCACTAGAATCTACCTTTTTTTTTTTTGAGACAGAGACTTGCTCTGTTGCTCCAGGTCGTGGCATCTTTATAGCGTCACTGCAACCTCAAACTCCTGGGCGCAAGTGATTTTCCTGCTTCAGCTTCCTGAGCAAAGGAAGCTGGGACTATAGGTGCCCACACAGCACCCCCAGCTAATTTTTCTACTTCTGTAGAGATGGGGTCTTACTCTTGCGCCAGCTGGTGTTGAACTCCTGGCCCCAACTGATCCTCTGGCCTTAGTAACCCAGAATGCTAGAATTACAGGTGTGACCCACAGTGCCCAGCCCAGAATCTACATCTTAACTCTATTTCCTCTGGGTGGATACCAGTGTTAGTTTCAGCCTACCTCATTGTAATGTTTAGTCCAGGGGAAGATGGATTTAAAAAAAAAAAATCAAAGAATTGTGTTTCAACAGCTTATTTGCCCTGATGCCTGGGAATGGAAAGGGAGGAATGGAATATCCCGACTAGCTTAGTCTACAGTATATTTTGCATTCTTGGAATCTAGGTGTGTTGTTGGCTTCCCTGAAGCATGTAGATTTACTGTGGGGTTGGGCAGTTTCCCCTACGCAAATTGCCGCAGGAAAGGGAAAGGATAGTGGCTGGCAAAGCCGTAAACATCCATCACGGTGGCCAGTCTGCCAATGTTTGATAAGTCTGTGAAACATGAATAGATGAGGGCAAATTCATCGTCATAATCAGAAGATTAAAAATTCAAAATGTGTCTCACTGATGCAGGGACAGTCATATCAATTTTATAAATAAGCAGATAGCACACAGCCATTGCAGATCACTCATGGATTATCACGACTACCTTGGCAGGTGTCAAGAAGAACAAGAATAAATCCTCCCCTGTTCTTTATCCATATTCCCCATTAGGAAAACGCCATTCCATGGCAGACCCACATATCCAGACCGCAGAGAGCGCGAAGCTATGATTTTATCATCTTACGCTGGAATCTTAATGGTAAGGAAAAGAAGCTTGCATACACAGATATTTCATATCTACTATATGTATTTTGTGGGTTTTTGTTTGTTTGTCCGTCTTATTTTGTTTTAGAGAATATGTCTCACTGTCACCCAGAATGGAGTGCAGTGGTACAGTCAGAGCTCACTGTAGCCTCAAACTCCTGGGCTCAAGCAATCCTTCTGCCTCAGCCTCCTGAACAGCTAAGATTGCAGGCACGTGCCACCACACCTGACCCATATTTTGATATTAATGCATATTTGTGTCATTTTTAAACTAATGTTTCTATATGTTTAGGAGTTGCTAATGGTAAATGTTTCATTATTTAAAATGATAAAGACCAACTTCTATACTGTAGTGTGAAAACATTTATTTCAGAGGCAAAAAATATCCAGCAATGAGAAATGTAACTAATTGATCTTTGAAGAGCTGACTCATCCATTTACTCAGAAGGTAATTACTGTATTTAGTACCCACACTATCCAAGAGCAATTGTAGACATAGTGAGATATATAATATCTTTGTTTTCTAATAAAAGACAAGTCAGGATATAATAATATCTTGTTGTTATTGTTGTTTAACAGAACAGTATCTCAATTGAGGAAGTCTTTAAAATTTATGGGGCTGATTCTTCTGCCAATTCTAGTGCTACTAAGGTGAGTGTGACCTGGAATGGTCAATATAAGGGATTTTTAGAGAGAATATATTTAGTGTATAAGTTTATAATGTTGTATTTTCAGGCATCAATGATGAAAATAATAGTTCTATATCAAAATGCACAGAAATAACAATTCTATATCAGTATGTACAAAAGCCAGACTTAGCCATGTCTTAGTTGGGGAGCCTTATGTTTGTAAAATGCCTTTGGTAGGTAGAGAACCACATAGTAAGAACAAGTGTGTCTTGTGTCCCAGCTACTAGGGAAGCTGAGGCAGAAGGATCACTTAAGCCTAGGAGTTCCAGGCCAGGCTGGGCAACATAGCCAGACCCTGTCTCTTAAAAAAAGGTTTCATGAGAAAGAAAAATGCAGCAGCAGACTGGGTAACTTATGGTGAAAATGTGCCTTGTAGATCTCATCTTTGTTCTAGAAGATATATTACATCCTACAAAAGTCCCAGACCTACGTTACAAAAAGCGTAGGTGGGACTATAGGTGGGTGCCACCATGCCTGGCTCCTCCCAGGACAATACTTTAAAAATCACTAACAGTAGAAGCAGCAACAATCTAGGAGTCCGGAGACCTGGGTTTGAATTCTGACTCTGTTACTGTGGAGCCCTAAACAGATCCCTCTCCCTGTTTGGGCCTTTAAATTACTGATTCTTAAAAACAAAAACAAACAAAAAAAAACCCTAGTGTTCTGAATAATCTTGCCAGTTGGGTTCTTGCCATTTATGAATGTATGAACATTCAGAAAACATTTAAATATGGATTGCTATTTAGAGCTGAACTCTTGATCTCTTACCTTCAGATATCCTGGAAGAGGGAAGAAGAAAGGGAAGGTGGGGTGGGGGAAGGACACACTGGTGGCAGAGGGAGAGCAAAACACCCTCATGCCCAGGCCTGCTGGCTTTCATGCCCCACCCAGATTGGGAAGGGAGAAGGGCAGGGTTGTGGCCACAGGAGCACCTGCCCCCCCTTGTTCTTTTGCTGCAGAAGATACAGCAAGCAGCAGGGTCATGCAAAATTCCAGAGCCCACCAGATCATCCTTAGGAATCAAATTACCAAGTGCTGTCACTTTGAAACCAACCTTCTATCCCCTTAATCTGTAAGCCACCTGACTGTAGTCCTAAGACTCAAATTCCCACCATTGCTGCGGGCATCAGAACCTTCTCTCTGATCATCCATCGCAGTTTCAACTTGCTCCTTTCATTCATTCATTCAGTATAGTTGTAAGTGCAGGGGATACAATGGTAAGCAAGTCACACAAAGGTACTTTGCCTATAGACCTGGTATCCTGTACTGGGGCTTCCCTTGACTGAGATAAAAACCACCCCAGGCCTGAGGGTCCTCCAAGACCAAGCTCGCTGTGTTACTTGGAGAGCTGACACAGTCATACCGTCTCCATCCTGCCTGCCTGTCTCTGCAGCTTTCTCCTTTCCAGGTGGTTCTCCCTTTCTCTTCCCCATCCCCTAAAACATCCACATAAAACCTCGGGCCCCACACCCCCCTGTTTCAGTCCCTATTTTCTTTGTTCTTTCTTTTTTCTTTTAGATAGAGTCTTGCTCCATCACCCGGGCTAGAGTGCCATAGCATCAGCCTAGCTCACAGCAACCTCAGACTCCTAGGTTCAAGTGATCCTCCTGCCTCGGCTTCCAGAGTAGCTGGGACTACAGACGCATATCACAATGCCTGGCTAATTTTTTTCTGCTTTTAGTAGAGACAGGCTGGTCTCTTGCTCAGGCTGGTCTCTAACTCCAGAGTTCAATTGATCCTGCCGCCTCAGCCTCCCAGACTAATATCACAAGCGTGAGCCACTGCACCCTGCCCAGTCATTGTTTTCTCCTCATTTCTGGAGCCTGGGTCTAGGGCAGGTGTCAGGCACATCAACTCACATGGAAGATAGCCCTGTGAACCCCTCCAGTCTTTGCTGTACCATCAGTCAAGAAGGTCTGCAAACACGGGTGTCTGAGTAGGTTCATTTAAAGGGCTAGAGTGGGAAGAAATGCTGTTCAGCTGTGGGCCATCCCGTCTCTACCTGTCCATCAGATCACTCATTAGTTCATTCAAGAGTCTCTATTCAGCACCTTCTCTGTTCAGTGGCATGGCCCCATCCTCATAATCAGTGACCGATGATGAAGAACCCAGGAATGTACACAGACTACATAATGGCCAGCTCTGAGCAGAAACAGATAATGTCATCACACAGGGAGACCTTTCTTTAAAGGTTTGCACTTACTGCTTGCTGTGGGATGTGACTGTTGGTTCACTCACTGGTGTATATGTGAAAGGTCAATTGTATAATCTTAAGCACTAGGATTCTAAAGCCTGGCTGCCTGCAGTCAAAAGCAGAGTAATCCTGGGCAAATTTTCTAACCTCCACATGCCTCAATTATATATAAAAGCAGGGACAAGAAGACGGGGTTGTGGGAAGGGAGTGAATTAGTACCAGTAAAGGCCTGACCTCACAATAATAGCTTTACAATTTCTAGTACTCAGAGGTTGGATACTTGATTTCTTCTAAGTTCCCTAAATCAGGATTTCTCAACACTTTTGGCCAGATGATTCTTTGTTGTGTGTGTAAAGGGTGAGGGTTGGGAGCTGTCCTGTGCACTGAGGGACGTTTAGTGGCATCCTTGGCCTCTACCCACTAGATACAAGTAGTTTCTCTTCAGTTGTGACACTTTAAAATGTCTCTAGACTTTGCCAAATGTCCCACAGGAGGCAAAAATCACATTGGGTTGAGAACCACTGCTCTAAAAATTTAAAAATTGAATAGGTAACCAACATCATCTACGTGTATTATTAACATAATGTCAGATTTAGCTATGTTGGACAACAATTAATCACAAAAAGTATGATTTAAGTGACCAGTGCAAGAATCTGAGCCTCTAACCCGGTGAGCCCCACCAGGTCCTCCCCACATTAGGAATGGGCACAGGCCTTAGCTTTGGATGTATGTCACCCTCACTCAGGGGCCTTTCACGCTCTGTTTTCTTCCTTTTAAAACTGAGCAGGACGTTTTCTATTAATCTGAAGCTATTTGTAAACAAACCTTACTTTCGTGAGGCCCAGTATGATTTTTTTTTCTGTGGGTCCAGAGTCCTCCACAGATAAAAACCTCCTATCAGCAAAATCCAGCTCCTTCTCAGAATTAGGACTTCTCCATGGACATGTAGCATTTAGATTTAAAGGTTGAACACTAAAAATATTTCAAAACAGTCCTTAAGGATTTAATAAAATTTCAAGACTTTTTTTTTTGAGACAGAGTCTCACTATGTCACTCTCAGTAGGGTGCTGTGACATCGCAGCTGACAGCAACTTCAAACTCTTGGGCTTAAGC